ATAATAATAATAATAATAATAATAATAATAATATATGATTATAGCCTATTATCAGTTAAACAAAACGTAGGAACGAATAAAATTGTTTATGGATTCCGTTTTTCAAAATAATAGAGAAACGAATGATCGCGAATCACCAAAGTTGGGCAAAGTTGAAATTAATGAATTTGTGAAGGGGGAAGGGGAGAGGGTTGAAGTTAAAACGAAAGGGTGGAACGGGAGGGGGAGGGATGCGTTTATTCCGTTGGATTGTTTATCGACGTGGACCGTAATTATTTCGCGTTCAGAGTTAATTCATCGCTCAAAGCTGTTCCCTTGGTTGAAAATTACTCTGCAAATGGTTTCTGTTTCACGATCTTGATAAACCCTGGTGATTGTTATCTGATACGCTTTTAATGAGAGTGTCAGTGTTCAGCCCTGTGTTCAGACCCGTGCATGTAATGCGTTTCATTCAATCTAGGTTTAACCCTTTCATCCCTAAACGCGGCAGTTATCCAATCTCGGCTATCGTCGTTCGCTCTCAACACTCGCATAAATTCACTGTGGAAATAGAAAAAAATTTTTTCAAAAAAAAAAAAAAAATATATTATAAGTGTATTATATTAAATAATCTATTAAAAGTTTACTTTGAAATATTCAATTTTCTCTAATCGATTTCTTCTACTTACCCATAATTTAACAATAAATATTTTTCCATATTTCAACATCTTTCGAATGAGTCATACCATATGTATAAAATATACGATATAATATAAGTAACAAGTACGAAGGAAAAATATTAATTCGTGTAGTAATCGTCCATCGATCGTTATCGTTATATATAACATATTTTTTTAAAAAAAAATCATGTATCGTTTTCTAATACATGGATAGATATTTAAAGGAAAGAGGAACGAACATTTATTCCGTGCGTACTATTCCGCGGTCGAGGAGATACTGCTTCGAATTAAGTAAACAGAAATGGATTTAAATCGGATTTATACTTTATATGCCCTCGAGTTTAAATCCTTTGTTTTCGATATTTCTTATAATAATCGCTCTCGAAACACGTGTATGTTTGACGCACGACCGAATTTACGGCTTGCCCCGTGTCTCCTTCAAATATATACGTATATCGTTTTATAAATCTTCCCAGAGGGTGTGGCCTTTTAGATGGTAACTGCATCCGACAATGATTTATTAATTTGATGGAATAACGTAACAAGGGTGTATCTATTTTTAAAACCTGTTTTTCTCGAATAAAATAACATTAAATTCGGATATTTACGAATCCTTGTTAAATTTTCAATTACTGCGCGATCAATAATTTGATACTTTTTTCGATACAATTATATTACAGAGTATCTGTAAAGACAATTTTTAAGCTATAAAAATTGAAGATTTTTCTTATCTTTGCGTCGTTCTTGTTATTATTTATTTGTTGATTTTTTGATTCTCGTTAATAAAGGGATCGTTGATTGGATAATTTTCTTTATAATATTAAAATTGGGATTGGATAATTTTTACGAGTTTTTCGAGAAGGTTATTTTCATAATTTTGAAGAAAGTCGTTTCGACGGTACACCATGAAACGCTTCGATTAATCGATAACGACAAAGGGTTTCTAAAGTCAGAACTAGGGTAACAATGAGGTTACGCTTGCAGACGAACTTTCGAAATCGTGCGGTTATGAATCATTGAACGATTTTCATTGCATAAAGGCAATATCGATTACGTTGACCAAACTAATTTAACGCGTGGCATTGAATTCTTGATCGATCGATTTGATCGAGGAACGAAAATGATTGGATAATTTTAGAAGTAAAGCTTGTTACGTACACAGGGCTTTTTCCAATCGAAATTTCAATTTTCATTAAATATTATTTTATTATAAATTTACAAAGTTTATTCAAAAGTATTTCAGAACGAGTTATCATGGATGATTAAAATATTTTTGTGATTTTTTTTTAATATATAAATCCAAATTATAATATAATTGTAATAGTTATAAAATCAAAAATTTCAAATTCTATAACAATGAAATTAATTAAAGACTGGAAAAAATATATAAAGAATCATTTAGAAATTATATTAATTAAATTATATTTCGAAATTTGATAATTTTGAATTGTGTAATTAAAATTTTATTGAACTTTAGGAAATGAAATTTATCGCATAAAAAATTGAAATATTTCTTTTTTACGTCGAATTGCTTCGATAAGAATTTTTTTGCAGCATATAAAGAATGAATTCGATCTTCTTATTTTAGAGAAGTGGTTCGTTTATTAGATCGTTAAACCGTTCCAAGAATAGAGCGAGGAATTATTGGTTAATTAGTGTGGATTTCTGTGAATGAAGATTGAATGTGATTGTGATTCGATGCGTATTATTTAGAATTCGACTATTGTCATAAATATGATAATTATTATTAAATTTATATTTTAAAATAAATTTAATAATAATTCTACATAATAATGAGCTCGCCCAAAATATTCATTATGGTGTCCTCGATTAATTCCAAAAATGAATTGAAAATATTAAATTATTAATGATTTTATTGCACGAAATTTTGAATTTGATATAACATGAAAATAATAATGCGCATTAATATTTTCAATTTTCTGCATAATCCTCTATATAAATATTCCATGCTCGTAGAAATTAATTTTCAACCTTGTTTATTCTAATGCTCCTACTTACTAAATACCAAATTCTTATTTTACTTCAACATGATTTAAATCGTTAAAACATTCCACATTTACTTTACATATTACAATATATTATTTATAACACAAACTATCATAACATACCAATAACACCAATAATATCTATTTCTAATTTTATAAAAGTTATATTATAAAAAATATTTCTAATTGAGATTGCATACAAAACACATGCAAAAAAAGAAATATTACAAATTTATATACAGACAAATCTTCATCGAAACCTTTTCCTTGTAAAATATATCAATTCCACGAGAGACTTTTCCAACTTATATACACCAATTTCGCACAGAAGATTAAATTCTCAATCCGAAAATCTATTTAACCCCTTTCAATTATCTTTCAAAAATCAACTTACTGGTTGGAAAACTTTGCGCCAACTTCTCTCCACGTACATCGAACCCTCTGGCGAGGAAACGAAATCGGCGGAAGGCTCAATACGGCTGCGAGCAAACGAGCCACTTACGAGCAAAGTTTCTGCCACGGCCGGATGTCCCTCTCCGCCCGGAAACCGAGCGAGAGACCTCGATGGCGCGCGCGCGATCATCGTAATCGCGATTTACTGCTCGTCTCCACGCCGTAATAAACAATATTAACGCGGTGAGCACACGCACGTTGAATTTAATCGATGACGCTCGTTAACGTTCGTAACATGACAAACGACGCACGCAATCCCGATTCAATCTGCGCTGAAATTTGAATTCGATTTGGCGTCGCGCATCTCGCTTCATTTTTCGATCGACGGATGGTAAGATAGTTTGATAGCGTTCGATGATTGTTAATTAGGTAAGTGAAGTGAAGTGAAGAAATGTAGAGAGTGAAACTCGTAAGTGTGTAAATGTTGTTTCGTGGAAGAAAGAAAAGAAAATTGGATGTAAAAGTGGATTGCATCAATGTGTATAGTCATTTTAATTGCGGTAAATTCAGGATGCATTTTTCAAGGAAGGTTGTAAAATTAGAGATTCTTAAAAATGGAAATTTTCTCGTTCAAATTCTCGTTTTCCTGGGATTTGGATTTGTTATATGTTTATGTGTTGGAATTGAATAAGACATTCATTTCTTGAAATCTTAAGTTTTATAATAAGATCGGTATATCGGATTTTTTGATAAGTAAAGTGTATGAATAGTTGTTTTAACGAATAAAAATTGGATTGCATCTATTTTTCTTATTCTTTCAAGGGGTGAAAAACAACGAAACTTTCTTCTAGTTCTAAGTAGTTTTAAGTAGATTGGTGTTTTGATGTGTTTTAAGAAAAGTTTAAGTTACATGAAAATTAAGAAATTAATTTTAACTGGTATACTAATTAATTAATTTTTACTTTCTGCTTATTATGAATGTTATTCTCTTCTCTGAGAGAAAAGAATATAACTGTACGATAGATTGCATTACAGTAGCAGAGATATAGCAATTATCAGACATTAGAGTCAGGCGCTGCAGTAGAATATATATTGCGATAATCAGACATTAGTTAATAAATTAACTATTAAATTTATATATATTCGTGTATATTTTATTTTAAAAGAATCTCATAATTCTTATATATAATCTTAATTAAGTTCGCGAATTTTTATTAAAGGAAGAGTAGAATAAAATATAAAATTGAAATTAATTAATATCGATAGATAAACTCTTGTGATAATTTAATTTTATCTCGTATTAAAATATTCAACTTTCTACCATAAAAATATATATTATTTATTGAAAAAGAGCTATTCTATATATTTGAATTACAAATATTTAAATAAAGAATTATTTTCCCGATATTTTTTAAATCTTATCGGCATAAAGATTATCAATTCATCGAAATAATTTTTCTCATAGGGAACGAAACAGTTTTAAATTAAGAAAACACGATCCTCGAATACGAAAGAACTCTCGACTTCCAACAAATCCGATTTAACTTATCATCAAATCTATTATCGTTCATAAATATTTCCTCCCGTTTTAAATCATCTATATAAAGCACAATACGTTAAATATAATAATAAAAAAAGAAGAAACTAAGCGTTCCAAATTTTTCCTTCCCAACCATCTCTCAAATATTCATTCTAAAAATTCATTCAATATTCATTCCAAAAAAAAAAAAAAAAAAAAAAAAAAAGAAAAAAGAAAATCTCATACATTTACTCAATTTTTCAAACTCCTTTCACCTCTCTGCTTTTCGCATCGCAAAACCTCTCCACCTCAACGAAATATCTTCTCTCCTCGAATCGCCACGGATTTCGAGAGAGAAAAAAAAAAAACTCCCCCCCTCGTCGTATCCCTGTTTCTATTTTCACAATTTCGATTCCCATACAGACAACAGATTCCGACACTTTCGCACCGATCTGTATCTCGGCGATGATCCAATTTCAACGATGGCGGGGGAGGAGAGGGCGGCGAGGGATCGGGTGAGGGCGCGCAAGAGGATCGGCGAGCTGAAGAAGCGGAGGAAGGCGAAGGAGAGGAGGCAGAGGATGAGGCATGGGGGCGAGAAGTCGGCGGTCGAATCGCCTCCGGCTTTGCCACGCGTTGCATTGAATGAAACAATAATGTCGAGGCTGGATCTGAGCTGCATCATGAAAGCTCGAAGGAAAGGATTTACCAAAGCTCCCCCGGTCGAAAACGCGTATCCCGCCAAGTATGCCAGGTTTGTATCTTGTACTTCTTTTCGAGGTCGTCAATCATTTTCTCAATTTATAAATTGTACAAATTATATATGGTTAGTTATATATGGTTTTATTTTACTTTTTTTTTTAATTATATATATGCGTTGCTCTTATCAGCCAGAATTGCTGATTCTTATAATTATTAAGCGAAGTTTATGAAGTTTATTCGAAAAGTTTCGGTGACAACAAACGTTTCATATGCATGCAAATTCTAATTATCCAACTTCTCACGATCCCATGGATTATTACCTTAAGTCGATCTCGCTTATCAACATTGTTATTATCATATTCCTACGAGTTGAAATTACCTATCAAGGATCTTTGTACATCCTGCGCTTGCTTCGATGGAAAGCTTTCGTCATGTAGTAAGGAAAGTTCTAATCTAAGTCGATTCTCGATAGATGTTTAAGTTAAATCTCGCTAATTCTATCAACAAATTATTGATTTCCAAAGTTTTTCTACTGAAAAGTAAATCATCATTAATATTTAGTTTTTTCGTTATCCAATAGATTTTCAAACGAATTTGAAAATATTATACACACAATGCACAATTTCACAATTTTCTTTCTTCTATTTCCATTGTTTATTAAAATGATTCCATATCGAGACATGATTACTCCATGGAGATATTTTTATTAACGTTTTCATTCGATCAGGATTTACCAATGTGTCGTGCGTTATATTTTCCTCTACTTTATTATATTTTTTTTCAGAAGGAAGAGCGTACTACCGCCGTACAATCGATACCTAGTGGCAGTTTACGAGTGCATCGAGGGATACGTTTTCGAGGACTCGACGACTGATCGACTTTTCTGCAGCGATGGCGCTTGGTTAGGCGCGATTCCGCGTTGCGTAAAAGTGGAAGGTAATATGGGAAGGAGAGAGGAGAGGCGATATTTGTCAAAATATTTGTTCCAGGGATTGGAAATAATTTAAAAAAAAAAAAAGGAAAAGTTTCTCCAAATAATTTTTAGTCTCTAATTTAATTTTTTTTTTATCGATGAATCTATAATGGTATTTACTTCTTCTCCCGATTTTTGCGTAAACCGAGATTGAAATAACTTTCACCGAAAGTTTTTCGTTTACTTTAGAAAAGTTGAATGAACTAAATTTTTTTCCCCAACCTGACCGAATATCGGCGCAAGTTTTTTAAGTCTCTGTTGCTGAAATATCGAGATTGTTTTCTGCGAATCTAAAATCGTAATTGAAGGATTTTTAGAAATTCAATCGATGTTAACGATCACATCACACAGTTTAATTAAGTTAATGCTAAATTATTATACTAGTTATTTAATCGATTCGTTTGTAAATATAAACAGATTCTTCGATTAAATTGTATTCAAAGAATGTAAAACTGATTGGCCTCTGAAAAACGATCGTCGATGCGTGTTATTGAAAGAAAAGGAAAACTTCTCGTTCCAATATCTGATCTTCTAACAATTGTTTATCCGTCAAAAGGAAATGTATATCTTCTAAATAAATAAATTTATACGTTATTACTGTTACAATGACAAAAAATTCTTTGTGCTACAAATTAATTTCCATATCTCCATATGCAGTTGAATTTCATCTTTCAGAATTTTGCATAGAAATTCCTTTCAAAGAAGGGGAGGCGGGGGAGGGAAAAAAGAAGTTTTTACAGGACCAACCTACAGAGATTAAAAAAAAAAAAAAAAAAATATTTTTCCACGCGTTTCATAAATTTGAAACCTCGTCACCGTGTATAACATCATACACGAGGTACAAAGAATCGATAAAAATATCGCGTTCGATCAATTTAAAGTCGACGATGGAAAGTCGGCCGGATAGCGAAAAAATTCATTGGCTTTTGTTCCAGAAGCGACACTCAATAACGTGAAACGTTGCAATCAGGATCGAGGCGGGTGCGAGCATGTGTGTGAAGATACTCAAACAGGCGTGAACTGCTCGTGTTTCGATGGATTCCGCGTCAAAGGATCTTCCTGCATAGGTGATTTATGTTTCATTTGTTATAATTGAGACTATTGTTCGATTATGGTATACGACGAAGGAGAAAGAATCATCAGCTTTATATTATATTTGGATATTGTATTTGCATGATGCATGCAGTCATCGATGATAGATATTTAGATTCAATTGATCATTCGTTTTTTTCACGAATAAGAAGATGTTGTAAACTTTTTAAGAAATTTATTTATTTTTTCTTTGAATTTGCTTAAGGAATATAATAGTTTTAAAAATATTTGAAATATTTGCAATTATATAACAATACATCTTCTCTAAATTGAAAACTTTAGATTTAAAATTTTTATAAATTTTCTTTTCAAGAATATTTTTAATATATTATCAAAACAATTTGTTAATTAAATCTTTATTTAATTATTTAAAAATCTATTCTTTCTTGTTTCATTCTATCGATAAAAGAATGCGAAAGTTAGAAATAATAGAATATTTCGCTTTCCAAGATTGAAAATTAAAAAAATTCGTAAAAAAACAAAGTCATTTTACGCATTTCAAGGGATTTATTTAAGAAAAACGAGATTTACGATATCCCTATTCAAAGATCGTATCATTTTTTTTCGATACGTCGAGAATTACATGGCCTTCTAACTTTTAAATCCCGTTTGGATTTCGACGAAATCGTAGAAGAGGCGTAGGTATAGCCGTACAGCGTCGATTCTAAGGATAAAAAATTCTAAGCCTCTTTATCTGTTTCAACGACAACCATAGATTATGCTATATTTCAATATTGGATCGAACCCAAGGATTTGTCAGCATTAAGGATTGAATAATATTTAATCCTTGGAAACAAGGGATTTATTTATGTAATAACCTTCTTCGATTATTCATCAAAATTGTAGATTTGTTTTTTTTATTTATTTTTACGAGATTTTTCTTGTTTGCGTAGACTATTGGAAAGCGAAAAATAAAGAAAAAAATGGTAATAAGATTATGGGAAAGAGAATTTGTAATCTTGTAAGAAATAATATTTAAAAAAGAAGTATATAATGTATATTTATAAAGAAAATATTATAATTAAGCTGTAAATGTAATATTTTGATTGATCGAAGAAGGCAAGGATTGATTCGCCGAAATAAAACAAAAATAGAATAAAAAAAATTGCATTTTCTAATTTAAAATAACTTCTGAAATAAATTAGAATCTACAATATACCAATTACAAATTATATTCGTTCAAAAATAGATATATCTATCGCAAAATTTACTTTAAAACTCGATTAAAGCCTATTAAAATTACGAAAACTTCAAACCGCTATAACTCCGAAGATAATTATTTCCAATCGATGAATGAAAGCTTATTAGAAGCGCTGAACTTTGCCCTTTAAAACGCTTTTTTGCTCATCTCGATACGACTTCCGGTTCCCGAGATATCGTCGTGTAAAGGAAAGGGTAATTTTTAACTGTTTACTATCTCCGTCCTTGTCGCTTACTCGGATCTCTCGCTCGCGCCTCGCCTCACTGACCTATTCCAAACTCCAGACAAGTGGCAGACGCGATTCCTGGAAAAACGTAGTACGCGTAGTAGGAAAAAAAATCTAGGTCACTGGGCCGCGAGCCCATTCATAATCTCTGTCATAACTGTGAAAACTTTGAATTCTTATATCTCGACAACGGATCGAGATATCGGGATGAAACAAAAAACAACTTCAACGGTATATTTTTCTCTATTCTCTGAACTGCTTTGGTGATAAAATTTTTAATTTCTTCTGATCCTTTTTTTACATAAAAAAAAAAAATAAAGTAAGATAACTAAATTTGCAATGCTCGTTAAATTAAAACGATACTAGAATGAAAGAAAAATCTTGTAATGTTTAAAAATTCTTTCCACATCATCGAAGATTCTACTTTTCGACGTATATATATATTTTTAAAAATCCTTAAAATCGCGATATCAAATACAACGCAAAATCGATATTATTAAAAATATCCAACAATCAAAATTTCATCAGAATCGGTCTAAAATCCCGTTACATAGTCCCACCAACTATCCATCATCCTGATCATCGTCGAAGAACAATCGGCACGTCGATCGACGACTAATCGCGAATCGTTCCATTTCACCAATGGTCGAAGCATAAATCACCGGCCACTTTCGCGTCGATTACTCAACTTAACAGGCGGCGGTGTGCGATTCGCGGTGGAGGAACACGGGTGGAGGGCGTTTATGTAGTCCCTATTGTATGCTAATCGACGTCGGCATCTCCGTGTGTAAAACGAGTGCACGAGCACGAGGTGGAATCGAACCTCGTGTTTCAAGTGCAACCGCCCTCGCCTTTAGAGCTCACGTGTTGGAATTCACGTGTTTCAACGCTGATCTGTAATGATCGCATTCCTATTGTGCACGTATATAAATAGAGATGCTTCGTTTCGTTGATCGAGATTTTATTCCATCGTTTTCTTTTACAGTAATTTATTCAAATTAATAGTATCAATGAGGATTATGGATTTATGTTTTATGATTTCATATGGAAGAGGATGTGGTTAATTTGTGAAATTTTAATTTGATTTGATCAAATAAATTATTTTAAGATGTACAATTATTATTTATATGCTCTTGTATTTAATATCATGGGTCTCAAAGTTATTATGTTATTTTTACAACTTCCAATTAATATTCCAAAATTCAACGGATTTATCATTCTTTTATTTTTAGAAGTTTAGAAAAAAAAAGAGTCGTCAAAAATGAAATATTTCAAAAGTTCTATATTTCAAGTAAAATATAAATTGTAAACATTTTTCGAAGCTGTAATAAAAAAGAGCATTCTTGATAAAAATATAAATTTCAGATACAAAGATGCGAATATATTGCGACAATTCGACGTATCGTTGTAAATATTAATTGTTTTGGTAACAAGTTTTTTCGTTGACTTTTCACAGACATAGACGAATGTGCCGAAAGTAGAGCTGGTTGCGCTCAAATTTGTCACAACGATCCTGGTTCCTTCCATTGTGAATGCCATTCTGGTTATAAATTGGGAAACGATAGTAAATCGTGTCTGGGTGAGTTGTGAAATTAATTTTGTTCTCAACGATAACTGCTTTAATATAAATTTCTTGTAATTAATATAACTAATGAAACTATATATTATAACATATTAAACTAGCTTTTATAGAAGAAAATTTTAATCTTGAAAAATACATCTAGAACATGTACATCTTAAAATATTCATATTTCTTAGTTTAAAACCTATTATAAATTGGCCAATTGAATCAAAGTGCAATGTTTAATTGCTGTTTTAATTTTTACTAAATGAACAATTATTTCATTTAGAAAATTGTTAATTATTTTTTCTATAGATTATAAAGATATAAAGGTATATACATCTTATAATAGAATATATTGAATTTAATCAATAATAAAATACTTTCTTTTTCAAATGATTAATTTTTGTTGATTATATGTTATTTTAATTTCTATACACGTGCTATAAAAATCTTTCCTGACAAAAAGTAAGAAAATTTTTTTAAATTATCATTTTATAATCACCCCTTCGAAGATATTTTACTTGAAAAGCAGAACTCTCACGTAACCAGTTTACGATTGATCGATAATGCGTTTTCGGTTTGTAGACGCAATCATTCGTGATTTTTATTCCGTTCTCTGAACACGATCCCTGCGAAAGATTTCTACCCCAAGACGCGAAAGTAAATCAGTCAGCATTTACGACCAGATTAAATCAGTTGAATTCCTTTCTCTTTTTCGTTCTATTTTATTTCCCCTTTCGAGGCGAATTGAAAGTTGGAATCAAACGTCGGAAAAATCGTATGTTACACTACTCGCGATTCACTCGAAATGTTTGTATGATTCTTTGAAATATCATTTCGAAACCGATGATAAGACGGAATAGAAATAGATTCTGAGATTGTTGGTTTATAAGCAAAAGGAGAATTGAGCGTGTAAAATAACGTATGTATGCACGTTCAGTAGTGGTATAATTTGAAATCGATGAAACATGGGCAATAAAATAAATTCCTACTAAGTAAGAAAAAATAATTTCTTTGAGGGAGTATTACTTTAATGGAAAATTGATTCGATTCGTGTTATTTGCGTTATAAATAATGGATAAATAACAATCGTTAAATAGTACAATTTAAATGGAACAATGATTGTTTAATTAAAGTGGAATTATAATTATGGCATCTAAAAAGATAGAGTTCGTAGAATAAATGAAACGAGAGTTCTAATTAGACGATGCTTACTTAAATTTAATATTTTAATTAAAACATCATCATATTTGGAAGCAAGTTATATATCATTCCCCTCCAAATAAGATGAAAATAAGATGAATAATTAAACTGTTTGTCATTTACTGTTTGTGTTTATAATTTTAAAAATATACAAATATTAAACCGACAATGAAATCATTAAGAATTACAATTAACGAAATTTATAGACTACCAAAAATTACTTAAATTAATCAAACGCATCATCGTCGAAAAAAAGAAAAAAAAATTAAAAAAAGTCGAAATTAAAAATTCAAGGGATAAAGGAGGGAATATCCGTTTCAATTTATCCGTCAATTAACCGAATGCAGCGTTTAACGAGGGAAACTCTCGCAAGATTCGCGCAAAGAATTTAACACGGCGAATGCCCTCAACCCCTCGGTGACGGATTAATTCAATCTCGAGGCCTTCCACCCCGCCGGGATACCCGCGAAATTTGTCTTTTCGCTGGAAATTGGCTAACTAAGGAGAAGGAAGCGAGGCGTTCGTGTTGCTTTTCGCGGTTCGCCCACCGACCGAACCAAGAATTACAAACAACCCCTCGTTTATCGAATTACGCGTTGCGGTTCGTTCATTTGGACGCCGTTTTACCCCGTGTGTCCCGCGTTAACTCAAACTGATTAACCCTCGAGCCGTGAGTAAAGGAGAAAAAGAGAGAGAGAGAGAGAGAGAGAGGAGGAAATATTCAAACTGGTCGAGTGTTGTACACGGGAAAATTTAAATCCGATACGAGCTATTTCCTCGAAAAAGCTTTCGAAAGCAAAATTTTGAGACGGATAATCCTGCGCGATTCAACTTCCCCGACGGTGGATTAAATCAACGAGATTGAACAAATTTTCAGGCAAGTTTTAACGATCCTTAAACTGGTTATCGTGTTTTCAGTAATTACAAGTTTGGATATTTTTTTGAAGATTTTTTTTTTTTTTTTTTTTTTTAATTATAAGCAACACGATTGGATGGATTCGCGGAAGAATTTTTAATCTACGTTTGATTCGTGGAAAATTTTTATTTAATCGTTTCTTTTTTACAAAAAAAAAAAAACAATTCTCAATTTTGTTCGTACTTATTTGTAATTACGATAAATAGGATTGGAATAATTTTTGGAACGAATTTTAATCCGATTCATTTGGAAACTAATTATCGTAGTAATTAGTAAAAATTATATATTTAAACAGGATATTAATATTAACACGATTGAATTAATATTTTAATTAATATTCTTTGTGGTTAAATTCACTGATATTCTGATTCTAAGTGTTTAATGGAATAATTGAGCAATTAGAGTATATTCTTCTTTCTATTAGTTGTTCCAATACGATAAAATTAGAATAGAGTGTGAATTTCGATGTTGAAGCACGAAATTACCAGAATGTAGCATATTGCGCAAAATCAGACGGGCGTTTATTGACTTTACGAGATAGTTCGATTGGAATCGAATCGAATCGATGCTTGGATAATTGAAAGGACTATTAACACGTGCCCAAACAATCAAGAATCTATTATGGCTGTGTATTATTGTCGCGATTCCTTCTCTTTTTTCCCCTTTCTTTCTTTCTTTCTTCAAAAGTTTACATTTGAAATTAACTATACACAATATCAATCTCGTTTATCAGGATCTGTTTACATATTAATTGCAAAACTAATATCATAATTATGTAAATTAAATATTTAAATAGACCCCTCTTCATTTTGCTCATGAGTTTTTTCATTGTATATACCTCTCGATCAATTCTTCTTCATCTTTCCCCACTTTTCAACACTTATTCTCTCAAGCATATAAATTTTTAATCAAAGTTTTCATTTCATCGTGTCGCGAAAGAAAATTATTTTCCAATATTCTAAATTATACTTTTCATCAACAATCTCTTTTTCCCATTAAACGAAATAGAAAACAATCATTCTTAGCCAACATACAAATTTCTCCCCACTTTTCACTATTTTTCCTAAATAAACGAAAGAAGCTTCTTCCTTAATTAATATTAATATATTCCTTCGATCGGTTAATATTTCTATATAATATTTGTCGACATCGAACTTGACAAATAATCATATGACGACCCACCCCCATTGACCGAAAACCTGTTAACCAAAAAAACTCATTTCCTCGAAACGAATATTTCGTTCTTTTCCAATCGCAAAGTGTGAAACGAGAGTAATGAATCGATGTCTCGAGTCCGATGTTGCGACGATACAATCGGCCCTCGATACCGTCTCAAGAGGAGGAACGACGGTAGACTGTCGCCCTCCGTTCCCTCCGTTAAATTTTCGAAAGCAATTCACAAGATTGCTTGGTTGTTCTCGTTCAGACGTTAACGAGTGCCTGGTGAATAACGGGCACGGGCCGTGCCAAGGCGCTTGCATCAATCTCGAAGGGAGCTACGAGTGCAACTGTTCCGATATTCCCGGCCACAAATTGGCCGCGGATAATCACACCTGCGAGGATATCGACGAGTGCTCGACCAACAACGGGGGATGTTCCCATGTTTGTTTGAACACGCCTGGAAGCGCTTTTTGCCTCTGCCCGGACGGCTTTTATCTGACCAACGACTGGAAAACTTGCCAAGGTAACCGTATTTCGCCTGAAGAACTCTCTAGTTTAGTTTATTCCAAGGTATTCTAGGTTGTTGTGAGATCGTTACGTTATAATGGTACGTATTTGCGTAACAATTCTTACACTCGTTTTTATCTCTAGGATGGAGATATTCTGAATATTCTATCGAATATATCGATCTGTAACATAATGTATAATTCGAATATAATGGTTAATAAAATGGTTAAGAAAAGATCGTGGATAAAGTCTCTAGACGAAATTAAATTTAATTTTTACCGTTCTTATATTCGTATTTTGATTGTGAATATTCAATGTATATTATCGATCCATAATTAGAGGGTGTAAATTTATTTTAATACAGATGTGAATGAATGCGAGAACGCATCCAAGGTTTGCGCGAACAATACCGATTGCGAGAACACCGTCGGCTCGTTTAAATGCGTGAGCAAGCCCCAAAAGATGACCAAAGTTCTCCAGGACGAAGATTACGACGCGGAGGACGACGAGGACGATGACGATTACGACGAGGAAGAGGGGATCACGGAAATTCCAGATTTTGGCAAATGCGAGGACGGCTTCAGAAAGAACAAAAACGGCGAATGCATTGGTTCGTAAAAACACTTTTCTGCAACGAGACAAATGCGTAATTTTTTTATGGAATTTACGTAAAAAAAAAAAAAAAAAATTCGCGATATCAAAAGTAATTAAAGTAAGAACCGATATTCGTATATTCTTAACTTTATATTTAAACTCGAGGGAAATGAAATTTGCATAGAAGAAGTGAAAAGATAGGAAAACACGATACATTTCCAACAGACATCGACGAATGCTCGGACGAGGGAGAGCTTCCCGGCTGCGAGCACGAGTGCGTGAACGAGCCAGGCGGTTACTACTGCACCTGCCACTTGGGTTTCAAGCTCGGAGAAGACGGCGTGTCGTGCCGCGACATCGACGAGTGCAAAGAGGGGGTCAAACCGTGCTCCCACGGTTGCAACAACACCGAGGGCTCGTTCGAGTGCCACTGTCCAACGGGATTCTCTCTGAAGGAGGACAATCTCACCTGCACTCGGGCGAGAAAAAGTTGCGAAACACTGGCGACACCTTGCTCTCACGAGTGCCAAGAGTCGGAGGGCGGGCCGATGTGCGTTTGCCCGCGAGGTTATCGTATCCACGAGGACGAGGTGAGCTGCGTGGACGAGGACGAGTGCGCTCTGAACCTGTGCTCTCACTCCTGCGTGAACTTGGAAGGTGGGTTCGCGTGCACCTGCCCTCAAGGTTTCGAAACGTTGGACAAGTTCAATTGCACGGACGTGGACGAGTGCGCCAACAACGTCCACGATTGCGAGCACGAGTGCGTGAACGTCCACGGGGGTTACGCGTGCGGCTGTCGATCCGGGTTCACTTTGAACGACGACAACAGGACCTGTTCGGACGTGGACGAGTGTCTGGAGGGTGGTCACAAGTGCGAGCAGATCTGCGTGAATTCCGTTGGGAATTACACTTGCTCTTGCAGGGAGGGTTACCGGTTGTCGGACGGAGAAGGCAGCTTCTTCGATTGCGTGGACGTAAACGAGTGCGACGAGGGGCGGCACGGTTGCTCCCACGAGTGTTCGAACGAGGAGGGTGGATTCGAATGCGGTTGCCCGTTGGGTTATGTGTTGGGGAACGACTCGAGGACCTGCGAGGACGCGAACGAGTGCCTGGAAGGGACTCACCAATGCTCCCACGAGTGCGTGAACGTTCAAGGGTCGTACGCGTGCACCTGCCCACCCGGCATGATCGCGTCGGAGGACAAAAGGCAGTGCGTCCCCGTCGACCCGTGCCATTTCGCCAATTGTTCCCACGTGTGCGAGAAGCATCGGGACGCTTTCAAATGCAGCTGCCCCGAGGGTTTCGTCCTCCAGGGGGACGGGAGAACTTGCCAGGATTTCGACGAGTGCCTCGAGAACGAGCACGATTGCTCCCACGATTGCGCCAACACGTTGGGAAGCTACGAGTGCGTCTGCCCCGACGGTTTGACGCTTCTGCAGGACGGCCTCACGTGCGAGGACCCGTTGTGCCCGGAGGGATTGCGGCGGGACGACAAGGGCAGGTGTCGGGACATCGACGAGTGCCTGGAACGAAGCCACGAGTGCTCCCACATCTGCGTCAACGAGCACGCCTCATATCGTTGCTCCTGCCTCCCTGGATGGGCCTTGTCCGACGACGGCGTCACCTGCGTCGTTTCAGACCCCTGCTCCAACTCGTCCTGCTCCCACATCTGCCTCCCCTACGCCTCCTCGAGCCCCGCGTGCGATTGCCCTTCGGGGTACAAGTTGGCCGCGGACGGCGCCACCTGCGAGGACGTGGACGAGTGTCGAGACGGGTCGGCCAATTGCAGTTTCTCGTGCAGGAACGACGAGGGGTCGTACGCTTGCGAGTGCCCGCAAGGGTTCGAGCTCGGCGAGGACGGTCGGAGTTGCGTCGACGTGGACGAATGCGCGCAACCAGATCACAATTGTCCCCGAGAATGCGTCAATCTCGAGGGGACTTACGAGTGCGTGTGCCCTGTCGGACACGTGTTCTCGAAAACGGAGCTCGCCTGCGTGGACATAGACGAGTGCGCGACCGCGCAACACGCCTGCTCCCACGCGTGCACCAACACCGTAGGCGGATACGAGTGCACTTGCCCGACCGGGTGGAGCCTGAAACAGGACTCGAGGAACTGCTCCCCCTCTACCGTCCATCGCAATTGCTCGCACGCGTACGAGCGAGACGGCGAGGAGATCCGTTGCGGTTGCCCCGAGGGGTTCGAGCTCCAGGACGACGAGACCACTTGCGGCGACGTCGACGAGTGCGCCGAGGATCCTCCCCCTTGCGCCCACCGCTGCGTCAACACGAAAGGATCCTACCGCTGCGAGTGCCCTCCCGGTCTACGGCTGAGACAGGATCGAACAACCTGCCAGGACATCGACGAGTGCGTCGAGACCAACAATCGTGGGGGTTGTTCCCACGATTGCTCCAACACCGAGGGTAGCTTTCGCTGTACCTGTCCTCTAGGGTACGAGTTGGTCGAGGACGGCAAGACGTGTCTGGACGTGGACGAGTGCGTCCTAAATAACAACGGGGGTTGTTCCCACGATTGCTCCAACACCGAGGGTAGCTTTCGCTGTACCTGTCCTCGAGGGTACGAGTTGGTCGAGGACGGGAAGACGTGTCTGGACGTGGACGAGTGCAAGAGGAAGGATGTGTTCCACGGGTGTTCCCATCGGTGCGAAAATTTGGACGGTGGATACGTTTGCTCGTGTCCCGAGGGCTCGGTCCTTGGACAGGACAATAGGACGTGCACAGTGGCGGCGTGCGAGCAGGCGCACAATTGCAGCCACACGTGCGTGAACGTCCGGGGTGGTTACGAATGCGAGTGTCCCACAGGGTGGGAATTAAGCTCGGACGGTCGGACGTGCGAGGAAATTGATTTTTGCGCCGGTGGACACGGCTGCTCCCACGAGTGCGTGAGCGTGGCGGGTGGCGGGTTCCAGTGCCGGTGCCCGGCCGGCTATGCTTTGTCCAAGGATAACAGGAGCTGCCTGGACAGGGACGAGTGCGAGGAGGCGGGCAACGAGGTGAGCAACGGCTGCTCCCATTCCTGCGTCAACACGGATGGGAGCTACGAGTGCGGGTGCCCGAAAGGGTATCGACTGGCAGGCGATCGAAAGACCTGCGAGGACGTGAACGAGTGCATCGAGGACAACGGTGGATGCTCCCATCTGTGCGCCAACATCGAGGGTGGCGTCGAGTGCGCCTGCCCGGATAATTACAAACTGCTGGAGGACGACGGGAAGACGTGCGTGGAGATCGACGAATGCCTGATCGACAACGGTGGTTGCACGCATTTGTGCCATTACGAGAACGGCACCGTCTCCTGTTTCTGCCCGCCAGGCATGATTCTCGAGGACGACAATGCCACTTGCTCGGAGGAGAACAAGTGTTACGCGGATAACGGGGGTTGCTCCCATTATTGCAGCTACGAGGATGGCAGGGTGGCTTGCTCCTGCCCAACGGATCTCGTATTGTCCGAGAACGGAACCGTTTGCGTGGGACGAAATAGGTGCTCGGAGGGGAACGGTGGTTGCTCCCACGATTGCCGTTACGAGGGAGGAGAGACGTTTTGCCTGTGCCCGGACGACATGATCCTCGCGGATGACAAGCTTCGTTGCGTCTACGCGAACAAATGTTTCGTGGACAACGGGGGCTGTTCCGACATCTGCTCCTTCTCAAACGGGTCCGTCGCCTGCGAGTGCCCGTCCGGGTTCAGACTGTCGGAGGACGACAACGCTACCTGCGTGGACGTGGACGAGTGTTCGGAATTGTTGGACAATTGCACGCACAGGTGTACGAATACGGAGGGCGGGTTCGAGTGCGGGTGCAACCAAGGATTCAAAGTGAGCCCCGTCGAACCCGCTTTCTGCGACGACGTGGACGAATGCGAGGACTCGAGCGCGGGATGCTCCCATACATGCGCGAACTTGGTAGGATCGTTTCACTGTACCTGTCCAACCGGATACGTGTTGGAGAATGACAATAAAACTTGCAGGTTGATCGACGGTTGCAAGCAGAACAACGGAAACTGTTCTCATCATTGTCACCACGAGGAAGGTAGCGAGACGGTACACTGCTCCTGCCCTCTAGGATTCAGATTGAAACAGGAGGATCAGAGAACTTGCGAGGATATCGACGAGTGCGAGGAGTTCGAGAATGACGTGGATCTAGGCTGCTCCCACATCTGCGTCAACACGGAAGGGGGATACTATTGCGAGTGCCCCTCCGGCTACATCCTGTTGCCGGAGAACAAGAAAAATTGTATCGACATGAACGAGTGTCTCAACGATCGACACAATTGCAGTCACGACTGCTTGAACCTCTTGGGGAGCTACGTGTGCACCTGCTACGAGGGCCACTACCTCCACTCCGATAAATCCACTTGCCTGGACATAGACGAGTGTCTGGAGAGGAACGGCGGCTGCTCTCATCAATGCACCAACACTATTGGCGGCCATTTTTGCTCCTGCCCAACCGGTTACGAGCTTTCCCAGGACGAGAAGACCTGCGTCGACGTCGACGAGTGTAAAACGGATCTGGCCGATTGCCTCCACGAATGCGTCAACACTTTGGGCTCGTGGAGGTGTGCCTGCCCGGACGGCCACGCGCTTGCCAACGATTCCAAAACTTGCGTCGACATAGACGAGTGCAAGCTGAACAATGGCGGCTGCTCCCACGCGTGTTTCAACATCGTAGGCGGCGTTAGGTGCAACTGTCCTATAGGATTGCGGCTAGACGGGAACGGTAAAACGTGCAACGACGTGGACGAGTGCTCGACGGACAATGGCGGTTGCTCGGACATCTGCATCAATTTGGAAGGTAGTTACTCCTGCCAGTGTGCCAACGGTCTCCACCTTCACACCGACGCCAAGACTTGCTTGGACGTTGACGAGTGCGAGATGGAGAATGGAGGATGCTCCGACAATTGTATCAACGTGCGTGGCAGTTATCGTTGCGAGTGCCCCGCCGGTTTCCAATTGAAGGAGGACGAAAGGACTTGCTCCGACGTGAACGAGTGCGACGAAGATAACGGTGGCTGCTCCCACGAATGCGTCAACGAACTTGGTGGCTATCGATGCGATTGTCCGTTCGGTCACGAGTTAAGGAACAAATCGTGCCACCCTGTAGATCCGTGTGCCAATAACAACGGCGGCTGCGAGCAGATTTGCGCCGCGAAGAATGGGACGGTTGTGTGCGGTTGCAAAGAAGGCTTCCGCCCCGATGAGAACGATCCCCCGAGGTGCAGAGATATCGACGAGTGCGCTGGCTCGCGACACGGATGCGATCAGTTGTGCGTGAACACCGTTGGATCGTTCGAGTGCTCGTGTAACCAGGGATTCGAGATGCAGAATTCTACCTGTGTTGGTGAGTATGTTGCTCCCATTTATCGATACGTATCTCTCTTTGATCCTCGTTCGATCCGTTATTTCATTGATTTGAGATATAAGAATGTATCTATCATGTTTATACGATTGAATATATCATATTGTAGAGATATAATATGAATGGTGTAACATTGATTGGTTATTAAATTATAGTTGTTATTAAATTACGAAAATTGTGAGATTTTCAATACTTTTATTGAATTATTATTAGATTTAAATTCGTTAAAATTTAATAAATAATAGTCATTATGAATTCCGGTATAATTGCGCGTATGTTTTTAAACAAAATTTTAAAAGAAATTTTAAATTTCATTGGCGTGGATTATATATATATATATATATATATATATAAAAAATTTACGATTTTAATTACGAATATACGAGTTATATCTACACGTAAAATCAAAACTTTTAATGCCTTTGATACTTTGCATGCTTTTCTTAAGCTCGTGTTTTTTCTTTTTCTCTCTTTCTCTCTCTTTCTCTTTCTTTCTCTCCTTCGATCGAATGTATTACACGTCGTAGAAAATTAAAAATTCAGGTCAAGGAACATTAAACGTGTACAATACGTATTTACATTCGCTTTCTTATACATGCAGTATTATTGCTGAAAGACCGGAAACACAATAGCTTGTCACGATATTTCACCTTTCATGCGTTTCGATCCTATTCGTTTTACCGTGGTTTTCATTAAACTTTAGTCTCTCCTGCTTCCATTTTGTACATTTATTCGTTATCACAATAAACTGGCCAGAAATTATTATATGCTGCTGTATAATATTGAAATTAAAGATTCATATTCATAAACGTGAATTTTCAAAATTTCTCGAAAGTTGTGATTATTAATTGAAAAAGTTAAACGATACGCAAATAACATTCCCAATTCGTTATTTCATGAAATATTTTCATTTTATGATCAACTGTTAAAACTCTCCTAAATTTTTTAATTAATTTCCTCGAGCAGTGTGTATTTGAGAATTTAAAAAAAAAAAAAAAAAAAAAGAAAAAAGAAGAAGAAAAGACCTATAATCTATTAAGAAACAAATTAGAAAGAAAAATAAAATAATATAATATAAAACGTCCGCAGAATTTTTCCGCAGAAATATTTTAAACACATTATATTTACCATAAACAATTATCCCAAAAAAGAAGCGAAAAGAATAATTCATCGTTTCCAGATATCGACGAATGCGCCACAATGGATTGTAAAGGGTTTGAGTGTATCAATTCTTACGGCAGTTATCGTTGCGAATGTGACATTGGCCATCGATTGGAAGGCGATCATTGCGTAGGTACGTGTAAAAAAAAAAAAAAAAAATATTAACGATTAAAATATATCGTGCAGATATTATCGTGTGTATGGAGATAAGTAAAGAAAGACGATTTGTTCTTGTATATGGTATAGCTGAGATTTAATCCATGTGGAGATGATTGCATAGGCAAGTATGGACGACTTCAATGGGTGTTTGGAGGGAAAGCTGTCGGCGTACTATGCCTGGCTGATGTAATTTTGGCCAGATGGAAGGGATTCGTGACGACTAATCGCTTGTTAAACTGGAATACTCCGGCTTTCATGATAGTTAAAGGATTGTTGTCCGTTTCAGAAATTCGAGGAATGTTGGAGGAATCGTTGAATGATGTTGATGAAATTTGATTAGGAAGGCAAAATATAATAACTTGGAATTTTTTTGTCATAATCGAAGAATTTTGTATTGAATTTGGATGAATTTTCAAGTTGGATTAAAAGTATTTCCTCTTTTTGATTTTTTTTTTTTTTTCTGAAACAAAAATAATACATGTGAAATATATTAAGAAAAGAATAGTGCTTATATAATAATATAATAGAATTTAAATTTTTGTATTACTTTTTGTTATTAAAATAATTGCTATAAAAAATAGTGATTATAATTGTTTCTAATTAGATATAAATGAATGCGCGTGGAACAACGGCGGATGTGAGCATGACTGCATTAATACAGTCGGTTCCTATGTATGCGCTTGTCGACCTGGATATATACCAAGACGAAGGTGAGGCGACTAATTAAATTTATCTCTCTATGCGATTCTCGAGCGAACAAAAAAAAATTCAATAATTGTATTCTCTGGTATTGAAATCGAGACTTGTTAAAATTCTAAAAAAACAAAAAAAAAAAAAAAGAAAAAAAGAAAGAACGATAAATAATTTAATTCTTCTCTTAATCTCCAATATTAAATTATATACTTCGATGAAAATTTAAAAATCAAAATTAATTCTAACTCGAGTTTTTTCCTTATCGATTCTTTCCTTCGATAAAAAAAGAATCGTGGAAGAAATTTTGCATGGAAATTTTAATTGCTCTTTCTCGAAAAGGATTTCACGATTTTCGTACCATCGAGATTTCTGCAGATGAATTCCGGTTTTTGTTCCCAGAAATAGAAACCAGTGCCAAGATATAAACGAGTGCTTGAACCATAACGGGGGTTGCAACGGTGGATGCGTTAACACAGCCGGAAGTTACTACTGTACGTGCAATGGCGACCTCGTGTTGGCTTCCGACGAGAGAACTTGCATTTCAGCGGAATCGAGATGCCGTGCTATGGAACCACCCCTGCATGCAGAAGTGCGTAACAATTTATTGTGCAAAATATATGTAAAAATATGTCATATGTAATGTGTTAATTTTCTTTACAAATATTCACGAATCTCGTCTGTCAACGTTGGAAATATTAAATATAAAAAAGGTACAGAATAAAATTTCGTAAAAGATATATATATATAACTTTGGTATGTACAAGATTGTGAATTTTGATAAAAAAAAAAAAAAGATGGATGAGACAATTTTTGTATTAAAGGAATTTATATGCATATGTATTTTCTTGTTTTTTGAAAAATTGATATGGATAGTGTAAAAAAAAAAAAAAGGAAAAAATTATTATTCTGCTTTTAAAGAGTTTTCAAAAATTTAAATAAAAAAATTGCAAAGTATAGGAAACAAAAGAATATCCTGTTTTTTTTTCAGGGAAATTTTTTTCTCCTAGCTAGATTATTTTCTTTAAAATTCTAAATTTCATGTTTATTCATATCTTCACTAACTTAACTTTAACAGACATATTACACTAAAGAAATTTTAAACAAATTCTACATATTAGTACTATATATGTCTCCAATATCAAATAATTTATATCTAATATTCATTATAACAAATCAGGAAATAAATAAGGAAATAACATATCACATATAAATAAATAAAAAAAGAAATAAATAAATCCTGCTGATACTTTGATTTAAATGTCACAGTCACTTTAATACCTCTTACACGTTACAAATTGGGACGATGTTCTTAAAAATTTCTGCTGCTGGGGGCACATTGTATTTTTGGCATTCCTCTCATTGTAGATCAGATGTCCAGGTCATTCTTCCGGGGCAATGGATTATCCTGTTGGAGCCAGATGTCATATACAATGTCGAAGAGGTTTCAGGCTGGAGGGGCCGCACACGAGATACTGCATGGCCGGGGATCAATGGAATGGGAAGGAACCGACTTGCATTCAAGCATCGATCGTGACCGATTCCCGTTACCATTCAGGTGAGCTTTTTCTTCGACCTTTTAACCGGCGATAACCCGTTGGAATTGCATCGACTGGTCCTCCAACAAAAATTTGTGCTAACAGAAACTTGCGCCCGACAATAGACAGATAGGAATGGAAATGTCGCCTTTCTCTCGCGATCTATTCCAATAATTTGTTTTTCACCGATGGTATCGATCGGGAAAATTTAATTTGAGAAAATATCTGCGCAGCCGACAATTTCTCAAATCAAATTTTATTTTACGAACAACTCTAATTTTTGTCTTTTGAACGTCAAATTAAGGGATATTAAATTCGACATTATTAATGTGATTTTTATTGATGAAATGATTAGATGGCGAAGATTTCTCGAGGAAATTTGAGATTAAATTTGTGATTGACGTCTGGAATTGTGACATAAATAAATCGTAAAAGTTTCACACGGATTGATATTGAGAGGATTTTATTTCTGGAAATTGAGATGAAGGGAATAGAATGGTGAGATTAATGAAGTTTGATATCTTTAGCCTTCTTCTTTAGCATTCTTTAATAATTCCAAGTTTTCTATCGATAACATAAGTTTACAAAAAAAAAAAAAAAACATATGTTAGACATATGTATATCAAGATTTTCAAGTTAGATAAACTTCCTTCTTAAACTTTTTATGTAAATAAAAAATATATATATAATGCAAAAAATAATATAGAAAAATAAACATAAAATATAATAATTGTACTATTGACTATACTCAAGCTCTTTTCGAATAAATTTAATTAGATTCTACGTTCCTTTTTTTACAGATGCCTTATAAATTTCATTGTTCTTCAAAACCGACCAAGTTACAACTTGTTTTGTAAGTCAATGTTAACCAACGAACTCTTATCTTTTTATTTGTTATAAATTCCAATAATTTATCCAAGTAACCACAAACCTGGCATTCGTAGCACTTTACCAGCTCTCCTGTCGAGAACACGAAATTACAAGCAGAGGATTTGTACGTCTAATTTTCCGAAACGAATGGCAAAATGGTGGTGGAAAGTTTGGAGATCCAGTAGCCGGCTCGCAGATGGCTTTCACGAACGATCAGGAAGAAAGATCACCGTCAGCGGCAATTATTTACCAACGAAAATCCTGGCGGCGCATTTAATTAGTCACGCGGCCGCTCTAAACAGCTTTTAATAATAGGAAGTTCCGGCGTAAAGGCCGGTCGCTAACGACGCTATACGTTAACGCCATGGCTTAACGAGCTTGCAGAGAGACGCGTTTCAGTTTTTTTTACATTTCATTTCCTCCACTCCCTTGTGTTATTTTCAGTCGGTTCGTTTTCCCTTTCTCTTGGTCGCCTATTCTTCTCTTCACTGATTTCCATGCCGCTTTGTTCCGCGTAACAGCAATGAAATTTCGCCGTCTCTATAGTTCTGCTCTATCGGTTGACTAGTTTTCTCTCCCCCCTTTTTTTTTTTCTGTGTCTGATACGGACAGAATTTATTGCCTGCTATCGAGGTATACAACCATTTGTTTGAAAGAATTTCGCAACAATTAAGATAGCTTTATACTATCTTTAGAAACGAAGATTACTTTATTTTTATTTTTATTATTTTCAATGTTTTACGTGATAAGATGAAATGCCGATGGAAAAATTTGAATAACATTGGAATTTTGTATTTATAATAATAATTCATATTTGGAGAATATGTAACTGCATATGATACGCTTTATATATCATATATATCATTATGTATCACTATTATTTATCAGGAATATATAGCAGCGTATGTAGAGCAACATGATAGCATGAGGATAGAGTTGAAAATTTCATAATCTCAATCTCGAGATAATATTCACATAGAAAATTCAAGTGTCATGGGATCGCCAACTTCAATACTTCAATCCATGATTCAAAATCCATAATATCTCACACACGAAACTTTCATGATACCCAAAAGTATTCAATTCACTGGAGATCATACGAGAGTTATGAAACTTCACTTTAGATGTTAGAGAGAGAAAGAGAGAGAAACGTTAGTTGAGAGTTCAAGAACCTCATTTCCATCCCATGTATCGTAAGATGCATTCTAAGTCTAAATCAAGTCAAAAATATCTAGATTTATAGAATCCTTTTCAGACTGTGAATTCAAAGACCTCGATTTTTAATTTTTAATAAAATCTAGAATTCAACTATTTCTACTCTATTTCTATTCAATTATCTTCTAATTCAAGATCAATTTCTTTGAATTTTCTCTGAATTAATTAAGAAATTAAAGATACTTCTGATTGTAAAATTACTATTGAGATGATTTGTATAGAATTAATTCTATACTTCAGAAAAAATTATCCCAAATTAATCTATGTATGAAGAATTTCTCAACATTTCTATTTTTAAAAAAGTAAACCAGATATTCACTGATTTTGGAATCCTGAGATTCTCTTTAAATCAATTGAAAGTTTAGATGACATTCCTGACTCTGGGATAGTGTAATCCATGAATTAATTTGGAGTCTGAGAACCTCGACTTTCTACTGACTTCTCTACCTTTGATAAGATTATCAAACCTCTCTCTCATCAAGGATTAGGAATCTTTAAATTTTTAATTCTATTTGTATATAACATATTTGTTATTAATTGTTATTATAATCAATTTGTAAAAGTCGAAAAAAATTTATTTTATGAATATTTTAATAATTTATTGAATATCTGAAATATTTCTCCATTTTTATTAGAAATAGAAAACAAAGAAGAAACAAAGAATACAGAAAGTAATAATTTTGAATGAAACAAAGTATTAACAATATAGTAAATAATATAAATAAGTGTACACTACATAATAATATAATAATTACATTTATATAATAATGTAAATCCAATTCAATCTCAAATAACAATTTTATTAACAAAAATATTCATCTTTATTAGATCCAAACAATTACAGACATCAAATTCTCAATCTCATTTACCAGAAAATCAAACACACGAATTAACTGTCAATCAATAGGAATATTACCATCGAAACCAAACATATTTCACCAGTTTGACGAGAGAGTCAACTTGTGGAAACGTTTGCTTTCCACACCATTTGTCACGAGGTGCTCTCGGCGCTTATTTCGTATGCATAGAAAGAGGCTGGCGGCAATTAATAGCGGCAGAAATACCTTTTACGTTGGCAAATAATTACGAATAGAACTGTAACAAACAATTAAACGTGTAAATTAGTAAGAGAGTCGTAAGAAGTCGAAGGGAAGTTTATCGCAAATAATCGATCCCCTCGAGCAATCGAAACCGAGTCGATAATTCGATTATCATTCGAGTTCGAGTTCGAGAGATTATTTCGCGCAATACGTAATAATTTTATCCGTTCGCGAAATATGCATCCAGTAGAACAATCAAGTTGTTTTGTGCATGGTTACCGGTTATCAACTGTAAGGTGAACGTTTCACGGAAAACCGCATGTTTAATAACAGGCTTTGTTGCTTCAGACATGCCACGACCGTTCGTCAGGTGTCCCCGAGACATGGACGTGGAACTACCCGCAAGGCAGAACACGATACGCGTCTCTTTCCCTCAGCCCAAGTCCAACATGAACTGGTGGAGGTATTTATCAAAACACTACGTCGATGTTATTGCGATGACTAACGTTGTTTCTCCAGGTAACATAAGTTGAATGTCATAATTCGTCGATAGTGAGTTCGGTAAGGTGGTTTAGGTTAGAAACTAGGTTAAGTTGCGATACGTGTTGATGACGTAATATGTGAAAATGTAGTTATGTTGTTCAGGAAATGCTAGTTAGAATATCACGATTTTTCAGTTTTATTTTTAATAATAATATTATAATAACATTTCTTTTATGGAATAGATAATGAGAAAAATAGATACATACAAAAAAATATTATTATCGATTAATAAGTTATATCCAAATGTCCTACAACTCAAACATTCAAACTAATGTTAACATCATTCCCACAACCTAACTTAACCTAACTTACGTACTTACTTATCTCGACTCCCTCGCTTCAGATTAATTAACACATTAAACATTCGAAGTATCACTGCCATTCGTCGTAAAGTCTCGCACGACGGGACGAAATTAATTTCTTTTCGCGAATCTCTCCGTTGCAATATGTCACCACAATAGAATGGTTTATCTTATGTCGCAACGGGAACTGCTCGCAAGCCTTCTGCAGCGCACAATAGGAATTCCAAACGAGCTTAGGGGCTTCCTTCCAAGACCGTATACACGTCTTTGCTCCGGTATTTGTATTCACATCTCTATTTATTCAGTCGAGCATTGTAAACGCTTTTACGCGGCATGATAGAGAAATCATCCGCGACGTGGCGCGTCAATCGTCTTAGGGACAGTAAAATGCAACATGGATTCATATTCGTACGTATGTTAATTGGTCGTCGATCGATCCCGTGTCCTTTGGCAGATAGATCGTGATCTCAACAAATTTGTGCGTACGTGACAAGTGTGGATTCTACGATCAATGGATTAATGGACGACCTGATTGTATTACAGGTACGTGGACGCTTCGCCATCATGGGCTAAGCAATTGCAAGCGGATTTACCAGCAGGTACGACGGTCGTCACTTTCACAGCATGGTCGCCCGTTTCGAATTATACTAGCACGTGCAGGATAGTGATCCGTGTTCGAGGTGAGTATTTGTAAATATAGCGTGATTGTTGATCGTAAATGTATCGATTTATGAGGAAATTAGTGGATATACGTTGTACATAGATATAGGCCTCGTTTGCGATTGTGTGTGTAAATGTGAAGCAAGGAGAGGGGAGGGGGAATGTAAAAGATAAATTGAAAATGCAAGTTCTTCTATAGGAAACTAGGTTTTCGAATAAATCTATCATTGATAATTTCTATAATATATACTGATAATTTTATACATATATATAATTAATTGAAATTTAAAATTATATGTTTATAATACAAAAATTCAATGAAACATAATGTGTGAATATTGTTCACTTTTTTAAGTAGTTTTTAATAAAGTATTAACATAAGAAAAGTATTAATACAAACAAAAAATTAATTTAGAGCTATATCAAAACATGATTTGACAAAATTTCAATTTTCTTAAAAATTTCAAGAAATATAATAGATTATCTTATCTCTGGCAGAAACTTTCTATTCAATAAATATTTCTATATGTCTAATTATTGTTTAATATTTCATTATTTAGTTAATAATAGTAAAGTTTAAAATATACAATCTTATTTTCCTTCATAAAAAGCAAACAAAAAAAGAAAAAACTGATGCTGGCAAGAATCTTGAGGTAAAGTTTAAAAGTTTAATTATGAAAACTTCAATCCAAGTTCGAATTACATTCGGAAATTACAAATGTTGAAGCAGAAACATTTTTATCTTTTGCAAATAATAATTTTACTTTTTACTGCTTTTGTTATGGAAAAAGGATCTTACATATTCGTTACTACTTTTAAATTCGTTCGTGATATTTAAATCTTGCGCAAGATTCTTACGTAAATTTCTTAAAAAGCATACAAATTTAAGTATTTACAAAACATGCAAATTATAATAACATAAATATACGAACATGGAAATATCGATATCAAATTATGGCGCATGTTCGATCCATGTGATAGAAAATTCGAGAATTGCCACTTACGAGAATAATTTAATGGCAAGCTGGCAGGAATTTCGCGATTTAAATCCTATTTCACGTATCAGTGATCAGAGAATTAACAATGTCGTTTCGATTCGAATTTATGCAACTTTCGTGTCATGAGAGATTCGTGTTAAGCGTTGCAATCTTAATTCCATACGATTAAGAGACTTGCTTGTGCTAATGTATGGATTTCTATAAGTTATTATTGTTAGTATTCTAAATTGTTAGGCGTAAAATTTGTAATGAGTGCAGAAAATTGTTTATTTACATAATTAAGATACATAACATCAAATTTCAAAGATTTAAAATATAATTTTTATCAACAATAATTATTAAAATAATTATAAAGATTGCTGCAACTATTTTTCCCTTGCTATTTTTTCCAAACTTTAAAAAATTTCAAAGCAACAAATTTTCGATTCAAAATCGATTTTCGAGTTAGTTAACCAATTCGTTTCACGAAACGTAGTCGCATTAAATTCATTGTAACGTCATTGTTTCATTGGTTTCCGTGAGTACGCAATAGCACTCGATGGAAAAACGTTCTCCAGAGGACTGCGACGGTTTCCGGTAGCAACGTCACATAAATACATGTAGTCCACGTTACCTGTAGCTCTATTTCTCCCGTTTCTTTCCCATTGAGGTCATCGAGATATCGATAAAAAAAAAAGTTTTTTTCACACCATGAAAACATTATTTCACCGCTTCTATTATTGCTCTCTATTTTTTATCGACTTTATCTACTTTTATTTTTGTCATCCTTTTTATTTTTTTATAATAATAATAGTAGATATCATAGAATATCATTGAAAAAGTTGTAAATTTCTATTTGAGTTGTTGAACAAAACACAAAAATAAAAATAATTAAAGTGCACGTATCTATTAATTTTTTTTCTATATATTTTAAAATTAAAATATATAATAAATAATTGAAGAATTTAATTTAAAAGAATAACTTGAAAAATGTATTTATTGTTATAATCGAGTTTTGGAATTTTTTGATTTATTAAATATAAAGAAAAATAAAGATGTTTTTCATTTCATAAATATATTACTTGCGTATGATCAAGAAATTAAATTTTGGTGAAAAAAAATGAAATATAACTTATGATATTGAAAATGTCATTTAATAACAAGCTAGAGATGGAATTTTTGTAATTATTAATAATATGAATAGCAGTAATGAGCTTGAAGAAAAATTACTTGGAAATGGAAACTTATTTGAAAACCAATAATAAATAAAAAAAAAAAAAGATTAAAAACTGGAAGTAAAAGAAAAATGGTCAAAGAAAAATTGATAAAATGTTAAACTTCAGATCCTTTGAGTTTAAAAATCATAAAACTTTATGCATAGTATAGTTTTTATGCTAGCTTAGAAAAGCACGTCTCCATTTTATGATAATTTAGGATACAATAAACTTACATTGTGGATATCTATTTCTCATTTTCCATTTTCTAATATTTCTCTCTTAATTATTTATATTAATTTTATAATAAATTCTTGTTTAAATTATAAAGTGTATTGGTAAAATGTAATGTAAAACTTTTTTAAAAATAATATCGTTTATACACATAAATTACTGTTATCCATATATATATCAATTGAAAAATATATCTCGTGAAAAGTTTCAAAACATTCAGCAATGAAGAGTTATCGTTAATAACAAATTCCAATAGATAATAGTTTCCAAAACCAACGCATTTCTAATATCTTCCATATTTCGCATATTCAAACATCAAATATCACAGAATTCCTTCATTACGCGATACAATCCGTCCACCACAAATACATATAATACCCAGTGGATACACAAAACATTATTACACAGAGAGCACCATTTCGATCAAAATGCGCAAAACGATTTTATCGATCAAGATAGTCGTTGAACTAGCAAAAAATTAAAAAAAAAGAGAGAGAATACCATACAACAAAACTCAACTTGCAAACCGAGAGAATCGATAGAGTTTTCGATGGATGTAATCACGTTTCATAGGCCAGTCGGCACTATATCGCGTAACGCAGAGAAATAAATGGCTGTGGCCGCCGACAGTTCGAATAGAAACGTTATTTTGCGGTATTATATTTGATCTAGGGTGTTGTATGATTTACGTTGCTTAACCAGCGAATAGTGGTTAAGCCTTAGCCTAAAGCGAAGTTCGCGCAAAGAAAGAAATCAAAAACGGTCGATCACATATCATCTCGTGAACAGACTTTCTCACGTGGTCCCTTTGTTTCTAAAGATTTTTCGTAACCTGGCTTTCAGAGGTGCACCAAACGTGTCCCATAATTCTTCATTCTGATCGTTCAATATAACGTCTCTATTATTAATGTCAGGCCTCTAACTGTGCCCTACCTCTCACGAGGTTTATCTTGTGCGTTCATTTTATCAGATTTATGTACGTTTACGTGATATTACGTTTTCTATGATATCTTCTACGATATCTTTTTGTCGAACGTGATTTGTTGTTGTCTGTTCTTCTTTTTTTTTTTTATTATTATTATTTTCTCAATAGAGTGGAATTAATTGTATTCGGGTTCTTTATATTTTTGATACCGAGTGGATTTTTATTTGGAATTTAAATCGAATTATGTTATTTAATGGAGAATTTTTATTTTAAAAATTGGAAAACAAATAATGTCTTTAAGTACACTTGATGTTTGAGTCAATAAGAATCAAGTTTTAATATATAAATTACACGAGAAACAATATTGTTTAAAACAATGTTATTATTGATATATTAAAGATTCCAAATTTAATTGACTGATTCGAGTTTAATGTGAAGTTAATCAAAAGCTTTTTAATTTCATAATTTTTGGACAATCGAAATACAATCGAATATAGTATTTGTGTAAAATGTAATATCAATAATCAATAATTAGTTAACAAATAATTATACATTTTAATAACTAATCAACTGCTGATTGAATTTAAAAAATAAAATGTGTAATCTGGCGAATTAAATAAAAATTATTTACACGAATATTACGTGACTTTTCACGAGAATTAAATTTCCAAAATAATCTGCCAAATGAAAATAAAAATAATTTTTACAACTTGGATTTTTTACGGGTTAAATTTTCATTTTTTTTTTTCATCATAGAGAATTTTTTTCTCGCCGAAAGATAATTCAACAAAAGAGACGAAATCCAAGAGCAATCGTTTCATATTTTTCCCGTGCACAGTTCAATTCGTCGGTCGTGAATTACACGAGAGAGCTCTGTGAAACCGCAAAAATCGACATTGCCATTGTAAGAGCTGCCCTTTCTGCTTGCTCGCTTCATTTCTTCATGATATTCGAATCGCCGATGATGGCGGAATCTTTGCCCGCCCTGTCACCGGCAAACTTCCGTTTCATCGTTCCTGATTGCTGTTCCTGAAAGGAAGCGACTTCTCCCTCGGGACGAATTACACGGAAAACAATTTGAAGAATAGCGCTTAAAGGATCGATTCGTCGATTTCGAAGATGGAAAGACTGCAATTATATACACGCTTAGTTCTTGCGAACTAAGGAATTATTTGCTAAATCAATAATTTTCGATACAAATTGCGATTGATTTTTAAAATTGAAATATATTCTACGATAATATCTCAATAATAAAGGATAACGCTGAGTGAGAAAGAAGATGGGATAAATAAGACCATTATCGTCTTATTATTATTACTTATCAAAAAATTATACGAGTTTTCAATGATAATCACCACAACTTTTCCATTATTATTTTTTAAATAGAATCATAAATTAAGATTCCATTAATATTCAAAATGTTTGAGAGAAAATAAAAGTAAACTTCAAGAATCGGAATTTGCATAATCCCCCATTTCTACCATGTTGAAAAGTTGTAAAGTTGAAACTTCGGTAGTTACAGCCGAACAACAGCACGCCAAACAACGGCAAACACGCTGAATTAACGTGGTAAAAATTGAAACTCTCCTTCGCTTCTCTCGAACTTCGCTACACCGGCGAGGAAAAACTCATCCCCTTATCAGACAGAACGAAACTTTCAAATTCGTACAATTAATTCTCCCCCTTCTCTCTCTCTCTCTTCCACTTCCCTCCTTGTGTACACTTGCACAAGTACACGCATAACGTTTTCCCAACCTATCATTTCCACCCTTTGGTAAAAGTTCACGAACCTGCGCAAAACTACGAGCCGCCGATTAAGGATGGAGGAAACGTTTGCTCGAAGAGGAGGAAAGAAACGTGCACCAATTCACCGATGGATCGTCCACCGATCGAAGGGCATTAACGAAGAAATCGGACAAAGCCGCGATCCAATCTACGAGGAGGAAGAGGACAGCGAGAAGAAGGGGGTGGAACGAGTTGGAGAACGAGTGGTGGAGGAGGGTGGTGGAAAAACGAGGGAAGAAAAAGGGGAGGGTGGAAGGGTGGAGAGCCGGGTGGTGGGATGGAGGGGAACGATCGATTTCCTGATAAAGGGGAAACTTTTTCAAAAGGTCGTTGGAACGAAATCGGCCTCGATCCCGTTTTCGAATCGAGGCATCGATACCGATGGTGGGAAGTTCGGTCTGGTGCAGCGAGTGCACTTGTAGGGAGTCTCGCTTAATTACTCATTCCTAAAGTTCGCGAAACTCCCTTGGAGCGAGTTCACAGGGTGGACAGGGTGGATGGAGGGAGGTGGGATGGCGGTCAGAGGATGGATTCTGTTCGATATGCAATTACGCGAAATAGGTGTTGATCCTTGGGCACAGTGATTGTTAATTGCTTGATCCTACGATTTCATTATATCCTTTTGGGTGGACTAATTACGATTAAAGTGGCGCTAACCGGTTAGAATGGCGTGGCGTGAAAATGTCCAATATGACCTGGAAAAAGTTATTAATATTGTTGTTAAATTAAGAAGATAATTTACATTTTGAGAAATTTTAATTCAAAAAAAATATGATTTACTCGAGAAATTAAAATTATCATGAGCCAAATAAATTTTTACAATGAGTAATAAGTAGAAGAAAGGAATAGAAGAAAATTAGATAAAAAGAAGAATGTTTCAAAATTAAAAATAATAAATTGATAGAAGAACGGTAGAAAATTTCGATCAACTGTACAAATAATTATTATTTATATTGGAATATATTTTATAACGCTTGATTTATTAATGTTTGTTTAATATATAATTGAACGTATCGGTAATTTATTATATCCAGTTTTGGTAATTAGCTTAACAAACACCGAGTTAAATTATTGTTGTTATTTTTAACTTTATACATAAGAAAATTATACATTAATTTAATAAAATATACGGTAGAAATATGACGATAATTAATTGTAATGTATAAGAAACGAAGTGCATTGAATTTATTACAACTTGATGAATATCTTTTGATATTGATTTGATCGGACACAATAAGTAAATAATTAAAAAATCTTTTCAAATATCATCTTTTAATAACATTTTAAGTGAAAATCTTTTTCAAGATAAAATTTTAATGAAAAAAAAAGGAAAAGAGATGATTATAACGGTTAATGAAAAAGAAAAGGGAAAGAAAAGATTGAACGGCAAAGTATAAAAGAAAGATTAAGAATTTTTCACGAAAATTAAGCTCTAAAAACCCTAAGAAAATATTTTAATTATCTTCTTACGTTAATATAGAAATTAGTATATTTATTCCAACGAAATTTTATAGAATTATTTTTGTTTAAATCTTTTTATACACGCACGACAATCTTGAGTGATTATTTAAATCATAATTTTAAATTCCAAAAAGATGAAACTTTACAATATCTAGAATAGAAAAATTTATTTATTATACTAACGACTGATGTTATATACATTCACAGAGGATTCAAAAACAAAATAATTCACAAATTAATCAATTTGAATCTCAAAAATGAAAACCTCCTCCAAAAACCATCCCTCTCCTCAATCTCCGTGTTCAACATAACCCCTTGCAACCCCTAAAAATTTGTTTACCATATCGACGAATGATTATATTACCATTCACAGATACTGAGAATCCAAAAGTTTCGACGTGCCCGACATCCTTTGAAGTGCGGCTAAGCCCTGGCGAGCGGAATCGCTTAATATTCTGGCAGGAGCCAACGTTCACCGACAACGTCGGCGTCGAACGGGTCTACAAAACGAGGGTGAGCAAACGACATTGAATTCGGCCGAATAATCCCCGCTGTCTCCATTTCCAACCCTTCCCTCGAAAATTTCCCCTCGAAAATTTCTCCTCCCGTTGTTTGATCTCGAGAAGGTGACGACCATCCCTTCCCCTCCTTTTATTTCTTCCTTTATTTCCGCCCTCTTCTCTCTCTCTCTCTGTCTCTCCCTCTCCCTCTCTCCTTTCGCACGATCTCCCAAGGGATAAGAATCTTCACCCCATTTCTCTTTCCTTCCCCCAAGTCGCTTTTTCTCTTGGATTTATTAAAACTTTCTCCCTTAACGATCAAACTCACCAATCTTGCGGTTATCTATCTATGGCTGATGTAGTAATTTTCTTCTATCATTAACTCTTTGCACTTGAAGATTTTTTTTCACTCCAGGAATTAACAATTCAAAGTTAGAGGAAGGAACGAAGATAGGTTTTACATGGAAATTGATCTTATATATTATGTTAGGAATATTATAAAGATTTGTCATCATGTAAAGGTTTGTCATAATGTAAAGGTTTGTAGATTTCTTTTTGAGGATTTTATAGATAGGAAAAAATATTTTGAGATTAATTGATGATTTGATGACGTGAAAATTATTCTGATTAGATATCCATATTATATTTCAATAAAAATTTGATATAATAAATATAAATATTCTATAATATGTACTTTATAAAAAGTAAGTCTCTTTAAAATAAGAGAACCTTTGCTTGTTTCTAATTCTTTTCATTAAATAGATTAATATACCTTTTCATATATATATATATTGAGTAACATTTATATTTTAAATTGCTCTTTACATAAGTGTTGCTGCAAATTAATCTCATTGCACAATCTTTTTTTGTACGATTTTACTTTTGTAAAAGACCATCGATTCAAGTGCAAATTGTTAATTGCCTTAATTAAGAGTTGGAAAGTGAAATGGTGGAGACGTTGAAAGATCAACTTTATTCAACTTTCGTTCTTTCTTTTTTCGTTTCTTTCTTTCCTTTTTGTTTATTTACTCGTCAACCAGTTTATCCTCGTTTCGTTCGATATTTATTTTCCGTTTGTATTCCGTGGTGCACAGTTGGGAAAGTTTGAGGTCGATGGCAATTAGTGACGGTTTGGAGCACGTGTCAAGCAGGTGAACGACACCGCGATCGTTGGGTTTATAACGCGATAACGTGCTCGCGAATTGGTCGGACGTGCGATAATTGGCGAGCTTCCTCCTACGCGGTTAATAAACGCAACGTTCCGGTGTGCGCGGACAAATTGCTAAGTTAAGTCGATTAAAGCTGCCTCTAAACGGGGTGAAAGGTGAGTGTGGTGGTGTAGAGATTGGAAAAAATGGAGGATATATCCGGAGAAAGGAAATGAAAGGAAAAAGATGGTAGGAATGATGAAGAGGAATAAGTGAATATATAATATTTTTGTACGTGAATGAATCTTGTGGTATTTGTATTTATAAATTCTCTCGCTTTTGAACGAGGATATAAATGATTGGTTAAATTAAATTGGTCAATATTAATTTATAGGGATAAAGTTTCTTATTGCGTTCAAAAAATCAATAACGATTGGAATTGTTGGAATTGAACTTGCTCTTTCTGAATTACCGTGACGGTAACGAGAAAAATTGATTAACCCGTTAATTAATCGATGTCCGCCAGAACTTGTTGAAAAAGTACCTCGATATTTCTTATTGTCTTAATTCTACCATAGTTATATAATTTCTTGCAATCAATTTGCTCTCGTTGCGATCTTTCAAATTAAATTATCTTTTGATAATATTAAATACAAATTGGGGATTATTTTAATTATCTTTCTATCAATGATCTACCTCCATTCATTCGAAAAAGATCTCTTTTAATATATTCTCCCTATAATATAATTAAATTTCATTTAATTCTAATCAAATTTTTCTTTCAATGATCACATTTTCTAATTCTTACACGACAATAAATTTAAACTTACATTTTCTGAATCAATCCATTATTATAATAATACTATTTCTAAATATATAGCCATTGCACTCCCTAAAATAAATATACATTTACTATTACCATTATTCCGTCCCAATTACTTTCCAAAATTATACCAGCTAAGATATTTCAACTTTCCCCCCTCGAAAATACACCCTAATTGCTCCTTCCAACGAACCCTAGAGATTCATTCATCATGAACGAAAATCGATCGAAAACAATAAGAAGAAAAAAGAAGAGAAGAGAAGAGAAGTGAACAGAGAGATTACAAATTAATAATCGTCGAAAGAGAAGAATTCTAGAATTCGAGGAGGGAGGGGAATCTGCTCGTTTCAGGACAAGTTTATCGAACGATAAACGAAAGTTCGGTTCGCCTCTTCAGATAATAATTCGAGGGACGATATCTCGAGTATACCCAGTACCAGATATTACATACATATTTCGATCCCTGCGTGGATTCGAGATTCGACTCCCATCGAAAGTTAACTCGCGTATATATTCCCATCCCAGGAACCCGGACAACTGATGTACCCCGGCATTCACAACGTGCGCTACATCGCTTCCGATGCAGCCGGAAATCGAGCCGAATGCCATTTCTCGATACACGTACGAGGTAAATTTATGTAACGCGCCACGTTGGGGGCCGGCCAATCGATGATATCGAGCTACCAAGTGGAATATTTTCGCTGGTAAATTGTGGGGTGGACCCTGTTGGCTGGACGCGACGATTGCCTGTTATATCGTGAACATTGGTGGAAGGATCCTGGTTTACAGTTTGTTAGAAAGGTTGGATGCGACTTCGTGCACGTGCGTAAACGTTTGTGCGTGTTTGCATTGTACGCATTGTTGGAAAATAAACGTAGCTTTCGTATATCAAATGGCCAATACAGATCTAATCGATGGTTAAAGAGAACTTTCGTGGAAAATTAATTATATAAGATAGGAGACATTTAAATTTTTTATTATTCGAATGTGTTGTTTGAAGTTAACTTTGTTAAAAATTTAGATGTTAATTTATATATGTAGTGAAATTTTAGACGGAATCAGATTTTAACCGAACAGATTTAAATCGCAGAGACTTTTCATTCTGACAAAACGTGCGAATATTATTATTTGCTTTGTCTTTAAATATATACACGATTATATAAACACAATTGGTGAATCCTACAGGTAGTTCTAAAATTACACGAAGCCGTATATAAATGCAGAAAATGAAACATTAGTTTTTATTGGATCAACTCATATTTCCATTAAAGTGAAACTTTTATATTAAAATTGACTTTGATTTGTGAATTGTCGAAGTTGATTCCAAGTCTGTAAATAAAGAGGAATGATTGTTTTTATTTGAACATGAAGCATCGTTTTATTTTCGTTGTATAAAAAAAAAAAAATCAATGATGGTAATCAACAATTGGAAATTTAATCAGTTATTGATATTTTTATCGTGTACAAGTGAATATACTCTACGTATAAAATTATATCAATTCGAAATAATAATCTCAATATCAACCAAAATAAAAATGGCAATTAAAAAAAATTAAAAAAAGAAACAGTAATTATTCTCAATAACGAGATAATAATTATCAAAGATATCCAAGATATCAATGAGAAAATTATCCATTCCTTTTGGCCAAAAGTTCTCTTTTCACACGATCGATAATATCTCCCACGATGCCAGTCGATCTTTTAATCTACTCTAGCTAATTACATCGGCTTAATGGATTCAATGAAGATGATTCTCTTCCATAAAATTTCCAACCTTCTAATAGACGAATCTTCACGATAAGGGAAAGAATTATGCCCCTTCGACGGGGCACGATGGAATTTCGTCCCTCGATAACATCGATTGGCCGTGATAGAAAACGATTAATCCAACTTATCTGGTGTCTCCGTACATTTTCAGAATCCGAGCATCGCCGAGATTCCGAGGTGAGTTAAAAAAAGAAAAGGAATCGTTCCTAGGGCTTTCGTACAATCGGAATTGCTTTCTGATACGATGAAATCCTGGCCAGACTCATCCTTCCTCTTTCATCGAGAAACATAACTTTATTCTGTTCATTCCATTGCCATTTCTCATCCCCCAAGCATGCTGAAAGCTTCTCATCTCCATGCTATTGCTTGCTTTTCTATAAAATTATTCTTTTTGTTAAATTACTTGTATTCTCTTTTTTATTCCTGATTTAAATTAATCTTCAATTTTTGGGGAGGGGAAATTTATTTATTATATCCTTGACTTGCTTTTATCAATTTTGTGAAAAATATTGAATTATAATTACTGCATGATACAGTTTTAAATATTCTACAAGCAAAAGACTTTATTGAAAGAGATCCTTCAAGATAAATGTTACGTGTATTTACCTTTCAGATTTTTATCTCATCTTAAGCACAAAGAACTATCAACTAGCACGTGTCACAATGTGCTTATACCACTCATCCCTCTATGCACATTTACTTTCGGATTTTTCATTCATCATTTATCAAATCAGTTTCGAAATTATTAATATCAAAATCCGTTTTAAACGTTTCAGTTTAAATTTCGTTCCGAGCCAAGATTTTAAACGTGGGCGTCTTTTCTTTTCCACTTCTTCGCAAAAATTGCAAACTTATTCGAGCGAGAATGAGGTGGATACGCGAATCCTCGCGGAGGGAACACGTAAATTCGTTGGCGTTGCATAATTCGACGGTGACGAATACGGATGGGTCTCGACGGAAATCCGGCATCTATCGCGCAACTTGTGTGTCTTTTCCCTTCCGGTGGATGGAAAAATACCGAGATATCGTTGTTGGGGGATGTTGTTCGCAAGTATTTCCACCCGAGAAAATTTCAAAGCGCTTCCTACGTTTATTTTAGTTTATCGCGTGATTTACGGGAGGAGATTTTCTGGCCAAGTTGACAGACAAGTTTATAGCCCAGCCTCGTGTTTTCATCATGGGAAGCGATGGCTTCTTGTAATGAAAATAGCTGTAAACGCGAGAGATATTCGGTGATTGAAAATCGTGAATAATTCGTCTTTTCATTTTTTTTTTTTTTTTTAATTTTTTATATAAGTCTGTTATACTTTCTAGTGATAACTCGTTAGTTTAATCAAGAACAACAAATCGAATTGCCTGTTATCTTACATTGATATTCAAGAAGCATTTTTGAAAAAAGAAAAAATGAAAATTTCTAATATATTTTTACTATACGCGATTTGGATTATTAGAGTAAGTTTTGTTAAAGTAGGCCAATTATCTACAGGATTGAGAGCGTTAAAGAAGAATTTTTCACTTTCTGAAATTAATTACTTGTATCTTCTCCGTCCAAGAAAAATAAGAATAAGTATTTTCTATGCTTTTCGTAGTTTCTTTCTCCGCCGTAAAAGATGACGAAACTTTCTCGGTTACTTAATAATACAACTTGCATTAAAATGAATTAAATTCTTAGAAGCTGGATAAAGTCTTGGATTGAAATCTTTTGACATTTTACAATACCAAAGAAATATTTATCTTCGCAAGATAACTGCACCGTAATTCCCATGGTATTAAAGCGTAACATTTAACTTTTAATTTTTAAAATAAATAACATAATTTAATAAAATGATTAATCGCGAATCGCATTTAAAAAATTCGATTATCAAATAGAAATACACGTTGCTATATTTCTTTATATAAATAATTCATCAAACTCTTCGTTTTTAATTAAATAAAACATTTTAAGTTTCCTTTTGTATTTTGCGTTTTTAAACAATCTTAAAATTAAATTATAAATAATTAAATCTTCCTTACAAAGCGTTGATCATTATTGAAAGATTCCCTCTATTGCTCCCCTTTCTTTTTAATATTCCGGCTTGCGTTGATTCGAGCAAGCAAAATTTTTATCTTAATTAAATTCCAAGAACGTGCAACGTTCCTTCTTCCCCGCAAAATAATTATTTGAAGGATCTCTTCTATGTTTCTTTTCTTCCTCCGTTTTCTCCGTTTATCTTCCAGCGAAATTCAATTTTTTCCCCTCCCCTCTTCCTTCTAATATATCCTCGTACGTACAGTGGCGAAGAGAAAATTGATTTAATCGGTGGACACGGGATCGTTTTATTAATGCGACAACATCCTCGTTAATTAGAAATCAATTAACCCACCTGTCGATTATTCGAATACCTATTAATTAAACTCTTGATCATCTGCATGCATAATAACCGTGCCATTATTGGCATGATTATCGGCGTATCATCGAATTGATAAATCATATTCATCCTTTCACTATTGGAACATGTTAATTAACGTCGAGATTGACCAATCGTCTTCTACGTTCTGTATGATTTTTCTTCTTCGCCTTCTCTTGTATTTTTCTTTTTTCTTAATTCGCTCGTCTCTTAACGAGTCTTGATACATTAATTTAAAATACATATTTAAAATACACCCATCGACAAATATTAAGAAATTAAATCAATCATTTGCAATTAATTATCAATTTTTTATATTTTTTTTAAGATCAATAAATTGGAACTAACTGGAATGTGTATAAGGAAACTTGCAAAAGATTAATTTGTATTTTATTAACTTTTGCCAATAAGTACATTTGTTATTCAGGAAGTAATTGCATTTGCATCGTTGATTGTTTTAAATTAACATTGCAACTAATAATCACTTGGTAATTATGTTTTAATAACATTCAGAGCTGGGTATTATTAAATTTAGATCAAGGTGTAGATTGAATGTTGCATTGATTAATCTGTTTGACTAACGTATTTAAATTATAATTACTAATCTCTAATTTATCACGAACTGTAATTAATGTTGAGATTATTATTTAGGGATTGCCAAAAGGATAATTATCAAAATCATTTAATCTATCATTCATAAACTCCATTAAAGATCTCGTACCCATACCCATATTTGCCCATATTTTATCATAACGATTGAACTAACTTATAATATCATTATAATACACATCTACACCATATCTCAGAATAACCCTCAAAGATTGTATCACTAGTAATAATAATAACTACACACGTATAATAAACCTACATTTCACTTCCAACATCAATCGCACGTATTGTATCATCGTTACTCGATCGTCATCATCATCCTATTAATCGCCTACAATTTATTATTATTCCCTCGTACTGCATAATTGTCCATCCTTCTCTCCTCTGGATCGATCTAAATCAAAATAACACCCGATTATATATTTATACCTCGCGCTATAATAATTTCATCGCCAGCTTTATTCCAAATACTTACATGAAATACCGAAACAAAAATGAAAACCTCGTCGACGAGAAATTTTCGTCCGCTATTTGGACTTAAGATCAAACGTAAAGTGGCAATCCAAACCCGCCATTCACACTTGTTTCGCCGTTTAGCCGCGATACTACAGAAGAAGGATGTTGATGTGCCCCGGAAGATCACCCCAGCCGATACCGTCCACCGCTTACGGGGTGAGTTTTACGCGATTTCTTGCGGCGGAGCAATTTTCGCGGATGGATGGAAGGGGAGGGGAGGGGAGGAGCACGTGTCCTAATTCGATTTTCAGTGGCAGATACCGAGCGGATGTTACCTCAGATACACGAGGATCTTCTCGGGGGCGTATGCTGTTCAGAACTATCGAGGGCAGAGGCAGAATGGTTATCAGGAGGCGAGGGCGGCTTATCATCAAGTTCATCCTGTTCACCAAGGGGGCCAAGGTCAAACTCAACTGCACTCCACATCCTATCCTCTTGGAGACTGTAAGTTTTCTGTGCGATTTCTTTTTTTTTTTTTTTTTTCTTCATATTTCTCCGCGATAGCTCGTTTATTCTTATGCTTTATTCTGCTGTGTCCATGAATTCTGATTGCACGTGGTTTTTTGTGTAAGAGGTTGTCTATTGTTTCTTCTTTTTTTAATTGGATGGATATAAAAGCTTTCTAATTTAAGGTATAAAAGAATAATTTTTGTTTTCGTTAGTGAAAAAATGGAATGTTTAATTTTATAATTTTTTAATAATTTTTGTAATCGTGTCTAATAATGTAAAACGGTCTTTCTTTATCTCGTGTAATTATTTTTTTTGCAATGATCATCGATTCGTTGAAAAATTTGAAACTGAAAACTAAAATTTACGTAATAATTTTTACATAATAACGCTGGAATTTTCATTTTATTTAACTTCCGAAATGTACCGTTGAGTGCATTAAAAATTAAATCCAATCCACGAAAATTTCGCAGAAAATAAATACTCGTTTCATTCGATCAAACGAATCAATAATTAATAATTTCATATTATTTTATTTTATCAATTGATTTATTTTGCAGAGTAATTACGTTGCAACAAAATTAACAATTTGTTTTAATTTTTACGTATTGTGTTTTCATTAAGATCAATCGAAAGAAAAAATTGAAATTAACTAAAAAAGTTTATACTTTTTCGGCTTTATTGTCGTGGAAATATTTCAGCATAGTGGCTGAAACAAAGTGGTGGACGCAACGACGCCATTTGCGGTCGTTCCATGCACGATAGTGGAAAAATTAGTATCATTTGCGGCTCGTACGACAAAATGGTAACTTTTGCTAATCCTACGGGATCAATTGTGATCCTACATAGAAGATATATGACGTTTTCTTTTTTTAACGTAAAAGAAAGGCAAATATGATGATAAAATAAACGTTTGTAATTATACAAGAATTTGTTTTATTAATAATGTTTGATTAATACAAAATCCAAGAGGAAAAATAAAAGAAGAAATAGAACATTCAAGTTTTTCTGATTAAGAAAGCGAAGCAACGATTCTGTTACAATTTGATAACAATTTTCCAATCTCTGTGCCTTTTAAGTAACAATATTTTTGAGATTAGGATGTTTGGTTCAATTGCATCGAATTTTTTGAATCACGTATGTATCGTCTAATTAAAAATATAAAAGCTTCGATCTATTTTTCAAATTCAGAGGATCAAAATTAAATATAAGAGGCAGCTCTTGTCCAATTCGGAAGAGAATCATGCGAGATGTAATCTCACGAGCGAAACAGAAAATTCGCAAAAGACGTTTCGAGGCGTTTAATTTTTCAAGTGACCTTTCGCCTTTTAACTTTCCCTCTTGTAATTGCCCGCTCCTTACGACTTAGCAAACTCTCATAGCGTAGACCTGTTGCTGTCTTCGAAATATCGTACGCGATATGAACGAGAAAACCAAATTAAATAAATTATTTTAATAAAATGAGTTTTCGTGGAACGCGATCCTTGCACAAACGGCGGATCACCCTTTTAATTGCAAACGCGCCCCAAAGGAAACAGAGGTCGCAAAGTAACGGCCCCATTGGAATTTCAAATGAAGCATAGTATCGCAGCAACTCGATGCTCCAACAGTTTTGATATTTTTTTTCTTTCTTTTTTAACCCAAATATTTCGCTCCTTAACGAACACCGTCGACATCCTTCCTCTCTTCCCCAACTTTTCCATCCTCTTTCATTATCACACGTTTTTCGGCTCTGATTTCATCGTTGATTCAAAGCGACTCGAGAATAAATTATCCTCCTCCTCGTTTTTTTTCTTTTTTTATTTTTTTTTTTTTATTTTTTTATGGAACTTTCTCCCGTTCCTTTCGATCAGTCCCAACGTCTTGGCCCAGTTCGAGACTGAAAAATGCAGATTGTTGAAGCGTGCTCCTGGGACAAGCTCGTGTTTCCACGATGCAAAGATGCGTTTCTTTCCACGGGGCTTCCCCTTTCGATCCATCCATCTCCGATATCCTCCCCCATCACGATTCCTCACTTTCTCGATTTCGATGGTCCTCCACAATTTTAACGCTTAATTTTTTTTCGTGGATGATATTCTTGATGGGGGCGTTGTTATTTATGATAATGATAATTTTGCGAATCATTCGTTTTAACCTTGGACGAAGGAATAATTAAAATAATTAGAAAATTGTTGAGATGACGTTGGAAATAATTAGGGAAGCAATATTGAATTCGAGTTCCCTTCTATATTGCGATTATTGAACATATGCAAGTTTATTTTTATTTTATATTTTAATCATAATTTTAACAGAGAAAGAAAAGAGATAGAGAACTAACAAAAAATTGAAGAACAATTCAAATTACAAATTGAATTTATTATTGGTGTAATCAAGATGATCTTTTTCTATATATGCAAAAATATAAACAATCCTAATTAATTAAAATCATTTACATTTCCTGTACGTTAATGTCACGATCGAATTTCCACGAATAAAATAATTTCTGACGATGTTTAGTTGGAAAGAACTGAGAAGAGCAAGGTGTTCGAGCGTAAAAAGCAGGAAAACCGCGAGACAATTTTCGATTAAAAATTGATTTACGGCACATTTCTATTTTTCAGATTACTTTGACTTATTTCATGGTCTTGATTTTTACTTGCGGCACAATTTCTGGAAAAATGTTTCCCGCCCAGCTGCAGACAACCCGTTCTTTTATTTAGTATCACGGTACTCTCAGGCGGAATTAAAAAATAATTCTCCCTCGCGAGATCCCTTCTGTTCGAGGTACGAGCCATTCCTTCTCCTCCTCCTCTTCCTCCCTCTTTGCTCGCCTCCTTGACTTTCTTTTATCCTTCTGTCTTCGACTATGCTTTTTTCACCATCATTTCTCTTCCCTTGCTTTCGAACGATCGTTCGTGATGTTTAGATAACGAGAAGTTTACCAATTCTAATTTGGCTTAATCGATCTCGTTCGTTTTAAGAGAGATTATAAAATTAGAATTTTTCTTTTTTTTTTTTTTTCGAAATGATAGAAGGTTTTTTTTTGCAATGGACAGAAATATGGTTTTTCTCGTGGACGAAATGAATCGTGATTTTGATGACGAGCATCGATTTATTTGACTTCTTTTTAATATTTTATGTGCCAGACTTTTAAATAGACGTGAAATATTCCTCATCAATAATGCATTTATAGTAAGCTTAAATATGCAAAAATATACAGAATGCATAAAATATGCAAAATTATACTAAATAAATTCATATATAATATTTAGAGAATGAAGTGAATTCTTGTCACGTTCCATTTCTTCATTTATGTTCGTAAAAATGTGAATAAACATCATAAGTCTACTCATCGAAAGTAGATGATAATAAATAAGTATAATCAAAATACCTATTATTTTATAATATAAATTCATATTTTAAGAAATTTCTTCTTGAAGAATTCCATAATCTAACCTTTGCAAAAATTTATATATTTTTTGAATTACAATTTACTAATTTAGCGTTAAACCTATCTTCTTTAAACTTCAAAATAAAATGACCATTAACCAATCTATTTATCATATCTTAATATTCCATCAACTTCCATACACGAAGCATTACGTACAACAATCCATCATCCAACTATTCTACCCCAATAACCAAATAATTATCAGAAACAAAAAATACAAACCAATAAATCCTATTATTATAAATTCTTCTTCCTTCTACATACGCAATCGACTCCATACGTTCCACCATTATAATTGCAAAATAAACAATATTATAATTACAAAAATGACAACTTAAATACAATTTCAGCCACGATCGAAACCTAAAAAAAAAAAAAAAAGGAAATCAACCGCGATACTCTCGACATTTTCCATCCGTGTCAACCGGATATCCGGTATCCCATAATTTTTCACGGCGTGGCCGCGTCTACTTCGCCTCGAAGCGACAGATTACGTCGCGTTTCTCGTTACTGTCGCCCCAAAGGCGTGTTTTTCAGCCCGTGTCGTATGAATATACAATCAGACACGATCGACCTCGCGCCGTTCCAATCCACCTCCAACAGAGATTAAATTTCGTGAAAAAGCACGTGTACGAAAATCTACGTACCCCATCTTATTTGACCTCCTCCCCTATCGATGCAGCCTCCGTTTCGCGCCACTGGGGGTCTCTGGTGGTCGTGATTCGAACGGTAATTACGAATTAACGTAGCGTCTTAAAGAGGGCGTTAAATCGAACGCTCGTGGGAGGTTTCATCGAAATTATCTGTGGGGAAAAAAACGATATTAGAATGATTTTGTGGCGATTGATAAACGCGTAAAGTTTTCCAAAAAAAATATATATGATGATGATGTGAAAAATAATATGATAATAAAGAGAGGATGCTCGTATCTTTTGTTTATTTTTCTGTAATTTTTTTTTTTTTTTCTTTTAAAATTTTATTTCTGCAAAATTCCATGGTATATTTTATCGGAATTCCGTTACACGATCCTTCGAAATTCCATTTCAGTTATCTTTAAAATTTCGTCCTCCTAGTCTCCTCAATCCCATTCTATATTCACTTCATCCCTCTATGTTTCTAGAAAACACTATCGATATTCTATCCTTTTATGGATTTTTGAAATTACTTAATATTATTCATATTATTCAAATAAATTTTAAATAATCATTATATTTTTAAAAATTATTACAAATTAAATAACAATTAATTATAAATCATATTTACTTATATACATAAAAATAATTAATAAATTGAATAATATAAAGATTATTATAATATATTAAAAATTATCACAAATATATGTTGGTAATAAATACATCAAATAACGATGATTTAGTTCGCTTTGAAAATTTTATTACAAAATTTTGAATGACAAACTTTGCATATCATTTTGAATAAAAATGAATATTGCCTGGATATTGATATAAAAAAATTAAAAAGAAATCGCTTAGATCAAATCCAAAGATTTTTCTAATACATCATATCAATAACTTCATCTAATTATTTGCAAAATCTTTTATTCCTAAAT